TTAAGTCCTGTCCTAAAGCCGAGAGCAATGGTTGATATGGAGTGGTATAACACTTACGGCTCAATTTTTGGGTAAGTAATTGAAGTAAAAGTAAATATAAAGTAAATATGATTAACACTATGTAAACACACTGTTTAACACTTTATATTACTAATTGTATAGAATCTATGATTGTGGAAAACCCCTGCTATATGTGGCGGACCCGGTGCTCATCAAACAGATTCTGGTGAAAGACTTTCACACATTCCGTAACAGAACACAAGTCCCGGGAATCGTCTCAAAGTCAATGCCCAGAGCGTCGGATGAGGACTGGAAACGTATCCGCGCGATAGCGAGTCCCGCATTCACTTCGGGTAAACTCCGACACATGTATCCACTGCTCAACGAGTGTTGCCTTCACTTATTGGCCGAACTCGATAGAGACGTGTCCACCAGTGGTGGTCACCGGGAAGTGGACGTCAAGCATGTGATGAGCGCCTATACACTCGATGGGATCGCCAGCACTGCGTTTGCTATCAATACCAACTCATATTCCAACCCAAACAACGAGTTCATCACAACTGCCAATAAGATCGCAAACTTAATCTTTTCTACCAATGATTGGCATAAGATATTAGCCATGATTTTGCCCACATTTCTAACTAATAACCGAATGTGGAAACGGATGGCAACCGGCGGTCGTCCCGCCGACCAGTTTTTCAATGATGTCGCCCGACGTGTGATGTCTGAGCGCAAGAAATCGGCTCAAAAACACAACGATTTCTTACAGCTGTTGATGGATGTGGAGAGAGAGGACGACACCAGCGACACGACAACCGGTGCCGGCGATGCTATGTTTGGACATCACGTCAATGAAAGCGTCGACGAACTGATGGCAGAGAAACAGGCGTTTAGTGGAGTGTTGGCCAAGAAGTTGACCGCCGATGAGATACTCGCGCAGTGCTCAGTGTTTTTTACGGCCGGTTATGAGACGACTGCACTGACCCTAACGTACTGTACGTATGAATTGGCAGTCAATCCCGATATTCAGGACCGGTTGGTGGCGGAGATCAGAGACGCGTTCAATGAAAACACAGACATAGACTACGACACCCTTTGCCGACTCCCACTCCTCGACGCCGTTATATCGGAAACTCTCCGCAAATATCCCACGGATTCAAGA